CTTCTCCCAGAAACATCCTAAGAAACATCTGGAAGATATGTCTCATAAGAGAAGAGAACATTAATACTATGTCCTTGTGCCCCTGAGCCTGAGTCCCACGCTCTCAGATGTTTTCTAAACGTTTTCTGTCCCTGAACTAGTTAGGTGATAAGCGCCACTTCAAGGCAAAGTGGAGACATACAGGAGTTACCTAAATGTTGTGGGTAAGAGGACCAACTAATGGGATGATAAAGATGTCCTGAGAACTAGAATTGTCAAGTTTCTATAAGCACATATTAAGGTAAACAGTACAAAAAGTAATTTTCAAATTAAATTAAGGCACAGCATCAAACTCCTACTATAAAGAGAAAGGCTTTTAGCATCGATGTAAAATGTTTCCCTTGTGTGAACGGATATAAAACCTACTTTAATGTCACTAGTGGGCAAGGCTTATATTACTAGTGGACAAGGCTTAAACTTGAGGATCAGCAACCAAGACACATTGAAGACGCGGTACACCAAGAGAGAGTGTGGTCAGTGTGGTGTGAGACGCTCACTGCGCCTCGTGCCTAACTACTGGCACTGTGGGTAACTGAAGCGCAGGCTGTAGTTGGCATTAAGCATCCAGCGTAACAACAGTGTTAAATATGATGTCTAGTGTTTACCAAGCACCATGCCTTGAGAGTTGTTCGGAGCCTTCGCACACGTTTTCTCACTTAACACTCACACGGATTCTGAGAATCCTACCTTTTTTAGAGGAGAAAAGGGTCCTCGGGATAATCGGGTCATTTGTTCAAGATGATACAGTTAGCTGAGTGGTGGGTCAAAACTTGAACCCCAAGCCCCCAAATCCTGCTTTTTGACCCTTGGCTGTGAAGGAATTGTAGGTTTTGTTCTCTCCCCTCTTTTTACATCTGACCTCTTACTTGCACAGATAGAGACTGAAAATCCAGAAAATCCCTATCAAAATAATAGATCTTACCTCTAATCAAACCAGCAGGAGAACAGACCTAAGGAAGCAATGGACAGTAGCAGTCCTCCTAACTATCTCTAGTTAAGATGCTCATGGGATCACTGGACCCGCCAGTCCCTCATCCTTTCTAAGGGGCAGGGCTGATGCCAGGCTATCTTCAGAGTCACACATTTTTGGTGAATCGACTCTTGATCCCAACTACTGATCCCAGTGACACTAAATATTCTTTTCCAGGCAAGTTATGTAGGTCTGTAAGATTAATAAGTCAGGGTGTATATCTGAAGCCAAATTTACGAAGGAGCAACGGAGGAGGCCCCAACACTTGTCATGATTAGTAAAACACCAAAGGAACAACGGTCAAATGAATTTGAAGGGGGTGAGCAGTGCGTTCTAGAAGCAAATGGTGCCTTTAAATCAATGAAAGCCTGTGGTGAAGAGCCTGGTCTGTCAGGGAGGCAGATGACGGTCTAGAGTGATGGGTAACAGTCAATGAGACACACGCACAGTCAGAAATGGAGGCTGAAGATTCGATTGGTGTGTTCCAGCAGCAGACAGGGGGTATCTACTGAAAAAGGGAAGCTGCCACTTTACTCCAGAATTTTCTTGTTGACAAGAATACATTATTGATCAGAAATCCTCAGTTTGGCTCTACCCCATCCTGACTACCACAGTATACCTTTCTCTCTCATTTCCTCTTCCCCATTCCTTAATTACACACAAAGTAATTGGTGTGTGTGCACGAACAGGTTTTTCTTCCCCCCCCCCTCCTTTTTTCTTTCCTTCTTTAACTAAATGACAAATGTCCTTTTCTGGTCGCCGTCAGTTGGAGACAGTCTGGGGGCAGTCACTAAGTTCTGTGGAAATATTCCCTGTCTCCATTGGTGGCACCCATATCTTAATCCAATGAGCTGTTCTGCTCTCACTGATTCAATCAAAAAAGCTCAACAACATAAAACACCCTGCCTACCTTGTTCACTTATCATTGTGAAACCAAAGGCAATTTTGTAACTTTTCTGTATCTAGATGTTACAAGCAGGGCGATCTACCTTGAGGAAGGGTTAACTACACTGGAAAAAGAATGGATCCTGGAACTCTCTTTGAGTCAAGCATCTTGTTATTTAAATGAATTTCTTGTTAAAAAAAAAAAAAAAGATTCATAGGACTTTTTTTTTTAAGCAAAAGAACTTTAAAACAAAACCTATAAGAATAAAGGAAACAATCTGGCCTCTAAGCCAAATACCAAGTAAATCAGTCAGTTCAAAGCTATATCCCCAACTCAAGGATGTCAGTGAATGTAACCGTTGGAAGGAATCATCCCTACATAAAGCACAAGCCCATTTCCTATGGAAAAAAAAATGCAGTGATTTATTTCTCCATACAAACTTCCCTGCAAATAATCTCACTGAACTGAAGGCCTTGCTGTGACTGATTGCACAAATCACCAGCAGAAGATATACAAGCAAAGAGGAAACATGTTGTCTAGAAAAAATATGCCATTTCCTTTGATTTCCTCTCCTAAGTGGAGTGACTCTTCTTCTAAGCCCAGCTCAAGGACTTGCTACCATGCACCACACATAGCTCGCCACCCTCCCAGGCATTAAAAATGAGAGACCAGGTAAGTCAATGGAGGGGCTGGGGGGGAGGGTCACATAGCTGTTGTCAGGAAGCCAAGGTCTCCATGGCTGATGCTTCCGAACACTTCTTGCCCAGCATGAAGATCAGATGTCTACAGTCTAGAAACCCTCCAAATAAACAAGAACCCCTTAGGGAAAAATTATACAGACCCTTTAATTGCTCTCTATTTTGGAGGAAACAGCTCTGTGAGCCACAAAGGGAGTGGGTTCTGAAGCACTGGGGTAGGCTTTAATCAATCTGTCAACCAATTCTGGAGCCACTGAATGTTTCAGAGAAAGAGCAGATGTGACTAAGACCTGTGGAGGTTAGCTCTTGAACCTTAGTGCAAAAGTGATGGGTGTGAAAAGCAGGAGTTTTGCATGCTAGAAGGTATTTGCCTAGTTAATTCCCTCTGTATCTGCTCACAGCCTATTTCATTTTAGTCTTACTAATCCTGACCTCAAAGATCTTCAACTGACTATTAGAAAAAGGATCCAGGTCTTTCTTGTTGTGTCATCAGGAGGACTGGGTGTGTGTTCAGAGTACGGATGCACAGGAAACATCAGGCAGGTCTGCAGTTAGCTTGTATGCCCTAGCACTGTGCTGGCTACAGTGGAACAGCTGTGGTACTTTTTGATTTCCAGGAGCAAGTTTGTGGCTCTTTCCCAGTAATTGAACCGGGAGTGCCAATAAGAAGGCTGACGCCATCCGACTAGAGAGACCATCAGACTACAGTGTGAGCTGTCTGGGGACACATGCACATAGGAACAACTTCCAACCAATCAGATAACTGGACCTGAAGTTTAGAGGCATTGCTAAATGCTAGAGTCCTCTTAGCAGAGGCTTCTGACCTCTCCCTGTAGAACCTTTCTGCTCCATCTTGTTCATACGCTTGACCCGAAGTACAGGAGAGTGTGATCAAGTAGCCTGTTCACACTAGTGTGTTCCAGGGAAGTTGACTAAGCAGCAATAGATAACCATGTGTACAAGAGAGGTAATAAAGCCACCACCTACAGAACCCACTCCTAGAGGATGATGCTTAGCTCTGAGAAATATACCTGAGATCATTTAAAGAACAAACCTACTCGGCAATGAATAAGAATGTTCCTTAATGCAGGGTGGAGGGTGGGGTGGGGTGGGGTGGGGTGGGGTAGGGGCAGAAGGTTTAAAGAGAGGCATACCAGCAAAGAGAACAAATGGCTTATGTTAATTGTCCTCAAATATTTAAAAGCTTAGTGTGGATGACATTGAAAGCAATTGCTTTACATATTTCAGGGGTTAGGCATAGAGATTGGGGCGTGGGGGGAGGTTCCAGAGTGGAGTGAAGATTTTCTAGATTTTCTAAGTCTTGGGCATTTGTGGAAGGAAGAGGCAGCCAAGGGGGCTGTGCAACCCCATTGTTTAAGGCAATGGGCTTTAGACTGAAGGATGACCCTGTAGATAAGATGTGGAGAGAATTCACTTCTTGGGAAACAAGTCTAAATAAAACGCATTCACTTTAAGGTTACACTGTAGCACTGAGATGTTTTTAATCTAAACATCATCCCCGTTTCCCTTGTGCTAAGAAATCTAATCCTAACACATGTGGGAGCAGAGGGGGGAAAATACAAGATGAATAAATTAAATGAAAGACAACACCAAAGTATAAATAGAAAGCCATGCAGGACTGAGGAAGAAAGGACCGGCAAGCTAACAGGGGAAACAGAGCCCAGAAGAGCAGGAAGGAACGTTACAAGGGAGGGCAGGCACAAACCAGGGAAACGCTTTGGGGGAGGGGAGCAAAGGAGCGAGGCAGACTGGCTGGGGCCAGAGGAGCCAGCCACCTTCTTGAGAAACAGCTTCCTTTGCCTTGGAGACCCCAGTGGGAAAGACATTCCAGGAGACTGTGGGTAAGGTGCTTGGAACCAGTGCCTCTCTTGTCTCTATGCAGAATGATAATTAAGGTTCGCTGAGAACACTGGAAATTACACCTGTTTCCTGAAGAAGGCAACGTGCTAAAGAACATACAGACCACCTAGAGAATCAGAGTAGTCCAAAAGAGGAAACCAGAAAGAGAAAAACATTTTTGAAAAGTGATCTCACACACGTTTCCTCTGAATGTTATCAGCTTGGCAGGCAACTTCTGAGGGTTCACACTACCTTTAACTCTAGTTACCCGACCCATAAACAAATCGTCTCTTTGTTACTCTTTGAGGGAGAGTGAAGACTCCTTTGATGTGGAAAGAGAAAGAAGGAAGGAGTCACGTCCCAGGGACAACAAGCTGTAAACTCTGGAGCCAAATGGTAAGAAGTTATCAGAGGTCCCTGCCTCAGTCTTCCAAGTTACCAATTCACACCATCCTCGAAGAAAAAACAATGCTTTTGTTTTCATTTTAGCTTTTCAAAAAAGACACTCTTTTCCTGATAAGCATGGAAATTTTATCTCCTCACTCACCCATTTCCTAGGTCTGCCTCTTGGCCGTTTTTCTCCAATGGTCTCTGCTTTCTGCAAAACAAGAAAGGAAACCATGTAGTCTCCTGCCTGGCATTATTAACAAGTGCTGTACCAAGGAATACATGACCAATTAGAATGTTCCGGACTGCAGATGAGGTTTAAAGAATGTCTTAGCAATCGCTTTCTCTTGGACACCTCATCTTCTGTGGTTTTCCGAGGCTGCTGCTTCTTCACTGTTTGCTGCATGCTATAAAGGGGTATCTATGCAACCCCTCACCATAAAAGACTCCCATGGGGTGACCTCCTCTGAAGTTCATGAATATGCTTTTGTTAAATCCATTTCGCCTTTGTTTCTGATTATACAAGAGAAATATTCCCACATCCCATAATTTATGCAAATTAACATTTTACAGAACGAACACCCCCCTCAGTGGTCAAGACTCTCCTTTTGCAACCAGTTAGAAAAATTAATATGGACAGGTTAATTTTAAATAATAAAACAGTTCTCTCTGCATTACTATGGAAAGCAAGTCGGAATGTAAGAAATAATATATAAACGCTTTAATATGAAACAATAAACATCTGCCAACTTCTGAATGACTAATTTCCTGTTCTATATCCAAAACAACCACCTGTCAATCATTCAGCCTAAAGTAGGAAGAGGGAGGGAGGAAAGGAGGGAAGGAGGGAGGGAGGGAGGGAAGGAGGAAGGGAGGGAGGGAAGGAGGGAGAGAAGGTGAGAAAACACCAGTGAAAATCACCAGTGTGTCAGAGATTTAAACAAGGGTTGCAGAAAAATAATTAAAGATTGGCATTATTAACTATAATTTCACACGCAACATGAATTTGACATGAAACCATTTCCTCTCAACTTGAGTATGCTTCATTGCTATATTGCACAGATTTTTCTGATATTAGTTATTTATTTCTACTTCATTCCAATTTTAACATACATAAAGTAACTAATTAGCCTTAGACACTCTTATTCTACTCCCCAAGCTCATCAATACAACCAATGTGCGTGCACGTGCGCGCGCGCACACACACACACACACACAGCATCTACCTTCTATAAGAAGCACACAAAGCTTATACTTTTCTGAAAACAGAAGCTGAGAATGTACTGTTGTATAGATGGGTCACCCGTCACCCTAAGAGCTCTCAATGCAGAAAGTGGAGGTAGACTGAGTCAGGACAACTTACGTTGCAATTTAGTTTTGTTACCTGAATGAATAGCTGGTGGATCTTGATACAGTGATACTAAAATGAGATATTAGGAGCCTGTGGTGACAAATGAAACCATCTTTCCCCCTTCAACTTACCGAATTAAAATAGATGAATATAAATGATGAGACAGACAGAGAGAGAGAGAGAGAGAGAGAGAGAGAGAGAGAGAGAGAGAGAG